CTAAACCCTAAGCCCCAACCCCTAAACCCTAAACCCTGAACCCTGAACCCTGAACCCTGAACCCTGAACCCTGAACCCTGAACCCTGAACCCTGAACCCTGAACCCTGAACCCTGAACCCTGAATCCTGAATCCTGAACCCTGAACCCTAAACCCTGAACCCTAAACCTTAAACCCTAAAGCCTAAACCTAAGCCCTAAGCTCTTTGAGACGCCTCTGAGGCATGAAGCGCCCTGACGGTACCACGACCACCACCACGCTCAACTTTGGTTTCAAGATGCCCAAGATAACGAGTCTTCGGCAGCATTTCGGGCTTAGGGTTTAGGGTTGAGGGTTTAGGGTTTAGAGTTTAGGGTTTAGGGTTGAGGGTTTCGGGTTTTTGGGGTTTCGAGGCTATCTTAGGGCTCTTGGATGAGGCCACAGGAGAGTAAGCTCGGGATTGAGTTGCAGAGGGGCGTTCGAAAGAACCCAAGCAGACCCCCAAACCCTAGAAACCCTAGAAACCCTTGATGGGGGGGGGGAGCCTAGGATTGGCATGTCACATCACCTAATTAAACCCCAAACACCCTAAACCCAAATTCCAAACCCGAAACCCTAAACCTGAAAGTGCTGCGCTCGGACACCGCTTGCGATCCCTCAACGGCGCCATCGGTTAGGGTTCAGGGTTTGGGGCTTACAGCATGGGGTTCAGGGTTTAGGGTTTAATATAGGGTTTAGGGTTTCGGGTTTAGGGATTATGATATAGGGTTTAGAGTTCAGTCTAGGGTTTGTAATGCAGGGGTTTAAACCCCTAAACCCCTAAACCCCTAAACCCCTAAACCCCTAAACCCCTAAACCCCTAAACCCCTAAACCCCTAAACCCCTAAACCCCTAAACCCCTAAAAACCCTAAACCCCTAACCCCTAAACCCTTAAACCCCTAAAACCCCTAAACCCTAAAACCCCTAAACCCTAACCCCTAAAACCCCTAAACCCTAAACCCCCTAAACCCCTAACCCCTAACCCCTACCCCCTAAACCCCCTAACCCCTAAACCCCTAAACCCCTAAACCCCTAAACCCTACCCCTAAAAAAACCCCTAAACCCCCCCCTAAAACCCCTAAAAACCCCTAAACCCCTAAACCCTAAACCCCTAAACCCCTAAACCCTAAACCCCTAAACCCCTAACCCCTAACCCCTAAACCCCTAAAAACCCCTAAACCCCTAACCCTTAAACCCCTAAACCCCTAAACCCTCCTAAACCCTAACCCTAAACCCCTAAAACCCCTACCCCCTAACCCTAACCCCCTAAACACCCCCCTAACCCCCTAAGCCCCCTAAGCCCCCTAAGCCCCTAAACCCCTAAACCCCTAAACCCCCCCTAAACCTTGAACCCTAAACCCTGAACCCCAATTCCTGCTAAGGATTCCGAAGATGTTCAAGAAGCTCGGCCTACTCGCGGAGAGCGCTACCAGCGTTCTACCCGCAGAAAACGTGGACGAGTTCTGCTCTCAGGCCCGGGGGGGAGGGGGGGGGGGCATCTGGGGTTGCTAGGGGTTTAGGGTTTAGGGTTTGGGGTTGAGGGTTTAGGGTTTAGGGTTCAGGGTTCAGGGTTTAGCCAGGAAGCCAAGGCCTTCTCCCCCCATCAACGGCAGCTTTCATGGCGCTAGGACACATGCCCTCGAAGATTCTCTTAGCTGTTGAAGTCACAGGCGGATATTTTTAAAGACATGTTCCCCACCTTCGGTGTGGGGTTGTTAGATTTTAAACTCAACTCCTAGAGACTCCCTGGAGGGCCCAACCCCACAAAATCCAAATATCTAAGGTGGGGATGTTCGAAGAAAAACACACATTTTTTCATTTTCTTTAACTACTGTTGGTGCTGAAAAAAGACACAAGTTTGGTGTATATGATGAACCATCTAATGGTCTACAAGCATAGTACGCACCCTAAACCCCGAACCCTAAACCCGCAACCCTAAACCCTAAACCCTAAACCGTCTCCATTCTCTACCTGACGAATGAGAGCAATCTGTTGCTGGGGATCGGGGAATGAGGGATGCTCCGCAATGCTACACGGAGGGAGCTCCGGGTGTGGGGCCGGGAGGGGCATGAGCCAAAGGGTACTCCATGAAGGGCTTATTAGGGTTGAGGGTTTAGGGTTGAGGGTACCCTGAAAGATCGGGAATCATTCAGCGTCCTGGGAATTGGGCTCTGCGGATACTCCCACGAGTATCCGTGGGAGACCATGGCGAGTTAAGGGCTGAAGTCCTAACCTCATCGAGACTGGCACTTTCGTAGGCCCCTTCGCCCCTCGCAAAGATGGACCCTGAACCCCCTAAGAGGGGTTCAGGGTTCAGGGTTCAGGGTTTAGCAAGAGAACAGCCTGAAACAAGCCTATGGTGGCCTATGAAGCCACATGCTCGGGCTTGAGGGTTTCGTGTTGAAGGCATGCTACAGCCGGCCCCAAAAAGTCCATGCCTCTAGAATCAGAAAAGGCTGACAAGAAAGCCTTGTACCCTACC